AACTAACAAATTTTTTAGTATCCAAAATCCAAAAAAAAAAATTTTTCTAAAATCAAAAAAGTGTCAAAAAGTCGCAAAAGTTTGAGACCTAAATTTTCCTTTTTAATGATTTCAATAAGTATAAATAAATACTATAAATCTTTCTGTCCAATAAAAAAATCCTAATATTTCCAGATTCTAAAAAATAAAATAAATCTTCCTTTCAATATTAAAAAAATGGAACTTTACGCTTGAAATTTAAGACTTAATACTAAAAACTTTTTAAACCCGATCACTATTGGGTAAACTTACGAAAATTTGTAGGTGGTTCAGAGAGTTGAGAGATAGACGAGGCGTGCAGAAAGTATTTTGAATCCACGCATTTACTATGGGCATGAGTCGTCAAGGGTTGGGTGAGAGATTTTACAACCCTCCAAATGCCTCCAAAACGGTGTATATAGTTTAATTCTCCACGGGGATCGAAATCAGGGATCTAATGTTTTCCTGACTTTCAAATCCCCACTTTCAGTCGCTCGTAAATCATGGATTAAAGAGTCCGGGTGCGTAATTCGCAGCAGTTTTGACCATAAACAGTTTAATCTCTTGTGACTTAAAATCGGCGATCTGTCAAAACAAGTGATTCTCCACGGTCCACTCTGTGATTTACTCAGGGATGTTTCCTCCTTTTTTTTCTATTCCAAATCTTCATTCTCATCTCACGCGCGCACGTGAGTGTGTCACTAATGAATAATCCTCCACTCTTAATCTTTACTGTTTGTCTTTTATCCAGATCTTGACACCTCATCTGTAAAAAAAAGAAGAAGAAAACATTAGAAAATTCCAGAAATGTAAAAATGCTAAATTATTATAAAACTAGCAAAACTTTTAGTTGCACTAGTTACTTTAAAAGATTTGCTTTTTGAAATTTAATGAAAATTCTACATTTTTTAAAAAATATAATTTTTCTAACAGTTTTTCTTTAAATTTAATTATTTGAACAACTCGTATAGATAACTTGAATGTAAGACATTTTTAATTAAATAATTGAACTTTACAGTGGTACTCGAGTACCACTGGAACTTTCCCGATAATAAGTTTATTCTAAATTTTTTTAAATTCAATTATTTTCCAAATTTGCAATTAGCATTCTTCTAAAATACGATTATATTTCAAAATAGTTTTTAAAAGTAAACAAATGAAATTTATTAAAATATAATTTCGATGAAACTTGACAAAATTTTCACTTGTTTCAATTTTTTAAAATTATTTTCGACAATACAATTATTTTTAAAAAATTTTAATTACATATTTTCAAGAAACAATTTTTCGGATTTTCTGAATTAAATTATTCAAAACTTTAATACTTTATGTTAAACAAAGATTTAAAAACTTATTCTTACTTATTTTTCCACAAGAATTAAATCTCAAAATAATTTTAATGAAAAACCTCATGAAATTTAATTATTTCTAAAAATTGCAACTGTAATTCTTCCAAAATTCTATAAATTAAATTTTTTTAATAACTATAAAACATGAAGAAATCGATCACTCCGAGTCTGTGACTTGGAGATATTAATTTATTCAAGTTTTATAATAATTAAAGAAAGCCTAGTGATAAAATCATTATTTTATATTATAAGAATATTGCACTTCTTCAAAATTATTTTCATTATTTCAATTAAATTATTTTTTCAAGAATTTTTTACTAAAATTCTTCTTTCAATCGATTATTTTTAATAATTTTCGAAAAAGTTCTTTGACAATTTTCAAATTAATTCGTTTACAATATTTAATTTTACGAAATTTTAATTATTCGTAAATTCTTCAATAAAATAAATATTAGAAAATAAAAACTTCAAATAATTTAAAAAAAAACAGCAATTAAACCTTTTTAAAAAAATTAATTTTAAAATTCAATTATTTTTGTTCAATTACTTTTTAAAATTCACGCTATATATTGCTTTTAATATTCAATTATTATCTAAAATTTTAACTCATATTCATTTTTAAATCAATTTTTAATAGAAAATTCTGCTAGAATTTAATTAATTAAATATAAAAATAATAATTTATTGAATAATTGAATGTTTCTTAATCAAAAGTCAATTCTCATAAAAAATTTTATAAACAAAATTTTTTAAATAATTAAATTCTTTAGACGAATTTTAATAAATTTTTTAAGAATAATTACAATTTCGAGAAATTCGATAAAAACTGTTTTAAAAATAATTGAAAATTCGCCGATGAATTTTATTATTTATCAAAATAATAGAGTTCCTAAAAAGAAATATATTATTTATGAAAATAATTAAAACCCTGTACAAAATTTTATTATTTATGAAGATAATTGAATTTCTGCAATAATTTGCAACTTCTCCAAAATTAAATTTTTTAAAAATATTTTCTTAACTAAAATTCTTCTTTATATCCAATATTAATAATAATTTTTGAAAAAGTTCTTTGAGAATTTTCAAATTTATTTGTTTACAATTCAATTTTACAAAATAATTTCAAGTAAAATTCAAATAAACTTTTTCAAAAAAAAATTAATTCTTTTACAGAATTGTTAGTTCAAAGAATTAAATTATTTAAATACAAAAATAATTTAAATAATAAATAATAATAATAATAATAATTAATAATAATAATAATAATAAATAATAATAATAAAATAATTAATAATAATAATTTATTGAATAATTGAATGTTTCTCAAAATTAAATTCCTATAAAGAATTTTATCAATAAATTTTTAAATCATTAAATTCTTTTGACGAATTTAAATGAAACTTTTTCAAAAAATTACATTTTTTCGAGGAATTCGATTAAAATTGAATTAAAAATAATTGAAATTCTGCTATAAGTTTTATTATTTATAGAAATAATTAAATTCATAAAAAAATTTTATTATTTAAAAAAATAATTGAATCTCTGTAAAAAAAATTGTAAATTTTATGAAAATAATGGAATTATTACGAAGAAATTTCTAAAAAATTTTAAAAAAATTGAATTCCTGGTAAATAATTGAATTCCTTTGATATTTTTATTATTTATGAAAATAATTCAATCTTTTTCGTAGAATTTTTATAAAAATTTGTTTTAAATAATTGAATTCTTTTGGAAAATTTTATTAAAATAGTAGATATTGAAAATCATTAAATTGAGGAAAATTTTTGAAAATAATTGAAATTGTGACAAGAAATTTATTAAAATTTTTGAAAATAATTGAATTTCGGAGAAGAATTTTAATATTTCTAAAGATAATTGAAATTTTGACGAGATTTTTTTTTTTTTTTGGTCGTAATTGAATTTCTGCAAAGAATTTTATTACTTTTGAAGATAATTGAATTTCTGCGATCATTTTCTGCGACCAAAATTTTTCAAATTATATCGTACACAATTTACGAACATTTCATCTTTTCTCAATCAAATTACGGACTTTACGGACCTTTTTTAAAAAAAAATTGACTTGTACGGACTTGAATCAAATTTACGGGATTTACGGACCTAGTTCGAGCTCTGCAATTAGAATTTCAAAAATTGAAATTTAATTATTTCTAAAGAATCCTACTTTAAATTAATTATTTTCTACAGTTTTAAATAAAATTCCTTTTTAAATCCATTCTTATCAGAATTCAATTATTTAAATACAAAAATAAATAATTCATAGAATAATTAATTATTTTTAAAAATTGCAACTGTACCTCTTTATTGAGTTTTTGAAATTGGAATTAAATTTTCTTACTTTGGACATAACAATTCGAAGTGCAAAACAAAAGATTGGAATAAAACAACCCTAAATCCACGTGAGGACAAATTATGACACCGATTATTATAATATAATTTTTCAATTAAAAATACGAATTTAAAAAAAAATTTCATTTTAAGATTGGAAAAATTTGTTTGCAAAAAAAAAAAGAGAAGAGAGTAGGGAACTCGTAAAAATATAAGTATACAATAAATAATGGATATTGAGTTTAATAAAGAATTGCGCTTTTGGCATTATTATGAGATAGAACCACGTAATAATGTTATCATAAAAGGAGTCACTTTAAAGTTTATGAGAAACTTGTAAAATGACGAGACAAGTTCGATGGCATCTCTTATCGCCTGCAGGTGACGCGCTACTCTCTCTCTTGGAGGGAACTTTTTAAATTTGTCAATTTAGCCGGCGGTTTTCTTAACGATCGCATCAGGGCGGAGCTTAAGGGAAAAAAAAGGGACCAAGGAAGTAAGCCATACTTCATAATTTTATATTTTACAACGGCTTGCGGAGTATTGCGCGTCCGTCCCGTCGCTTGGAAACACTTGGAAACGTGCTCGACTCTGCGAATCGTGTGTTTTTAAATTTAAACGAGGAGAGTCCGCATCCTCAAAAAAGAAAATGAAGGGTCGATGTAAATCGACGTCACGGACAATTACCTCAACGGATTTGCAGAGGAAACTTAAGATTTGCTTCGCTTCAGTTCCTTGAATTGTAAAAACCAAGGGACTTTATATATATAAATTATATAATTGTAAGAATAAAAAAACAGACCTCGACTACCTTTTTTGTTTGACGATAAAAAATTATTGTCTTTTGTTATCTCGCTGAAAGGGTGAATAACGTCAATTTATTTACTTCAAGTGCAAAAATTTCTCTCTTCTTTCTTTTGGCAATGAAACAATCTTTTTTAATATATAAAAAAAAACTCTTTAACCAAAATATTTATTTATAAATCTATGTTCATTAGGTTTAATTCCAAATGTTTGTCCGCAATTTGATTAAGTTCACTATTTTTGTTTGCTTTTCTGTTTTTTATAATTTTTTCGATAATTTTTCTTTTCGAATGATTTGGGTTTTTAAATTAATTAAATACTCAGTAAACAAGTAATAAATACTCACTTTTTTTGTTCACATCCTTCATGTTCATTAGATTATCGAATTTTCGCACCTAAAAAAAGAGACTGATAAGAAATTTTGTTTTATTTTATTTTAATAATTTCAAAAATTTACTAGTAAAAAAAGTACTCACATGTATGGATTTTTTGCGACGTAATAAACGATACGACTGCACATATTTTTTCTTTGAACAGAAAAAACTTTCTTCTCGTAGATCAACTAAATAGTGTTTAAAATTTTATTCTTACCAAATATTTTGTCTTTAACACTTATTGAACACTGTTGGCCAAAATCTTCATGAATTATTGTAAAACTCCCGTCGAAATAAATAATTTGTCACTGTTCTAGTCGTTTTTAAATCACTTTTCAAACTTTTGAATCACAATTTTCAATAAATTCAAATTTTCAGTCAAATTAAAGTTAACTATAAAAAAGACTCACCGTTGTAGACTCCTCGCCTTGTAATAAAAATATGATACCATTTTTCTTTGAGAAAGTTAATACATTGAACTGCGTTCAGTTACGTCCGATCGCCTTAAGATCAGCTCCGCAAAATACTCGCAACCCTCAAAGAGAATCGACATCTGCAAAAATTGAATTGTTTATTTTATTAAAATCTCTTACTTTTTATACTCTTTTATTTTTTTATACTCTCAAAATAATTACATTTTATTTAGTTTCATTTTTTATTAAAATTCGTCCATCTTACGTCCCTGTCTTAAAACAATAAGATTTAAAAAGCTATTTATATATATACCGTCAACCGGGGCTATTTTGTGCACCAAATAGATTTTTTTTATTCAAAGATTTATTTAAATTCAGAATTAAGAGAATAAAGAAAATCAACTTTTGATATATGTTGTGGACATCCTTCTGAAGCTTTCCTATAAATTTGGCAAAGAAAAAAATTTTTTTGTCTTAGTTATAGTCATTGAAAGTCGTGCACACAATAACTCCCTGGATGGGGCTATTTTGTGCATCGAACTTTGTTTTCCTATAATGTTGCGTAAACATTTTTTTAATCGTTTCTGCTTCATAAAATCTTTTGTGTATATATTTGAGAGTAAGTTAAAAAAAAGAATGACCTAGTAAAATTTTTTTTGTAGATATATTATACAAAAAATGTAAAATAAAGCACTAAATTTTTGCTAAAATCTGAATTTACTAAAAATTAACAATCTTTCTTTAAATTGTATATTACGCAGATAGTAAATAACATTTTTTTCTTTTTTAATATATATTTTATAATAATATACTAATATAATTATAAAATGATCGTTTAAACACTTATAAATAACTTTAAAACATCATTTCAATAGGAGCTTTTTTAATAGTTTTGAATGATATTTTTAAAAAACTTGAAATAAATATTTTTAAGGTTAAATAGATAACAATTTAATATCTAATATGCTTTTCAAGTTATTTTAAGAGAAACGAGAAAATAGTTTTAAAACTAATTTGAAAAACTTATAAATATTAATTAATGTTCATTTTTTGAGGTTACGTTGTGCACCGGTTGAGCTTTTAATCGTTTTAATGATTTTAATTAACGTATTTACAGTTTTTTGACAGAAAAGTAAGACAAAAATGTATTAAAATGATAAACAGAATTTTCTTTACTTACTAAATAAAACATTTATGAAAAATATTTGATTTTTTTAAGTGCACAAAATAGCCCCATGGAATCCTGGTTTTTCAGTTTTTTCCACTTTTCTCTTAAAATAATGAATAAAAAATTAGCGCATTACGTATGTATCATCACAACACAATTGACAACAAATATGTAACTCAGTTAATGAGACACATTAAAACTCTAGAAGATCTGGTATAATTTTTCCGAACTTTCAAAATTTTTTAAACAAATTTTCCGTTTTTAGGAATTTTTTTCTCTTAATTGACAAAGAATTAAATAATAAAATTTAGTGCTCTCTATTGTCATGTAATCAAACTTTCATTTAACAAAATAGCAGATTAAAATAATTCATTTTAATAATTTTTTTCATTAAAAAACTCGCGTGCACAAAATAGCCCCCGGATGCACAAAATAGCCCCAGTTGACGGTATTACATATTTATTTCATTCTCAAATTCAAATTTCATAATAATATTGCGTCACGTTTGAAAAAAAAGTTATAAACTTTGAAAATGTTTAATAAAAAATAGAACAAAAATAGTTTATCAAGGTTTGCTAAATTATTCCTAAAATATAAAAAAGTAAAAAACAAACATTCAATCGTTTCAAACGTCAATGAAGAAAAAATCAAGAAAATAGGTGACAAGATTTTTAAAAAGGTAAAAAGGTGTAAATCAGTTATTCCTAAGAATATCCAAGAAAATTCAATGTTTAAAAAAATTGCACAGACAATTAAATGTAGAAATTAAATAATAATAATAATTACCAATGAAAATTTATACATAGAAATTAATTTATATTTGAAATCAAATGTTACAACTTACAGAAACTGGATCATCAAGGAGAAGTGTTAACCCTATTCAGGATATTATCTCCAGGAAGGTTGGGTCTCTCAAATTATATTTTATTACATCTCTCAATTTTACTCAATCAAAAGGAAATTCTCACACATTGGAATTCTGTAAACAAAAAAAGAAGATTAATCAATCCACTTCATAATTTTCTGCTATAAAATTAGACTATTATTAATATTTTCTATACTAAAACATTAATAAAGTCAACTCGCGATAAATCGAATTTCTCAATATTATAATTAAACTTGTTTTCTAATCCCTTCAAAAAATTTTTTGAGCGAACTTTATCTTCTGTTTACTAACAATTGTTAGTCAAAAAATTAACAACTGGGTCCCAAACTATTGCTAGAACAATTTCAATTAATATCTGGGTCATCAAAATTAATTTAATTCACAATTCATAAAAAGTATCCATAGCAGATAATCAGCAGGAGATGAAAAACAGGACTCGGATCGTCTTTAAGACTCAAAAAAAGTCGCTTTAGTCGCAATACAATTTTAATTAAATTCTTAGCAAAATTTTAATTATGTATTTTTAATATTTTTTTAAAAATTCTCTTTAAAAATGTCAATTATTTTTATAAATAATAAAATTCTTCACCAAAATTCAATTATTCTAAAAAATTTGAATAAAATTCTTGTCAAAATTTCCATTATCTTAATAAATAATAAAATTCTTCTTTGAAATTTAATTATTTGCAAAAGTAATAAAATTCTCGTCAAAATTTCAATTATCTTTATAAATAATAATATTCATCCAGGAAATTTAATTATTTTCAAAAGTTCTGATAAAATTCTTTGCAAAATTCAATTATCGTCAAAAGTAAGAAAATTCTTCGCAGAAATTCAATTATTTTCAAAATTTTTTTTAAAATTCTCGTCAAAATTCCAATTATCTTTATAAATATCAATATTCTTCTGCAAAATTCAATTACTTTAAAATTTTTTTTTAAAAATCTGTTCATAATTTCAACTATCTTTATAAATAATAAAATTCTTCTTTGAAATTTAATTATTTGCCAAAAATTTTAATAAAATTCTTGTCAAAATCTCAATTATCTTTATAAAAAATAAAATTCATCCTGGAAATTAAATTATTTTCAAAAGATCTGATAAAATTCTCAGCAAAATTCAATTATCTTTAAAAGTAAGAAAATTCTTTGCAGAAAGTATATTATTTTCAAAAATTTTTTTTAAATTCTCCTCAAAATTTCAATTATCTTTAAAAATAATAAAATTCATCATAGAAATTCAATTATTTTCAAAAGTTCCGATAAAAGTCTCTGCAAAATTCAATTATCTTCAAAAGTAAGAAAATTCTTCGCAGAAATTCAATTATTCTAAAAAATTTTAATAAATTTCTTGTCATAATTTCAATTATTTTTATAAATATCAATATTCTTCTGCAAAATTCAATTTACTTTAAAAATTTTTTTTAATAACTTCAATATTTCAATTATCTTTATAAATAATAAAATTCTTCTCTGAAATTCAATTAGTTGCAAAAATTTTAATAAAATCTTGTCAAAATTTCAATTATCTTTAAAAATAATAAAATTCATTCTGGAAATTTATCTATTTTCAAAAGTTGTGATAAAATTCTCTGGAAAATTCAATTATATTCAAAGGTAAGAAAATTCTTCGCAAAAATTCAAATATTTTCAAAATTTTTTTTTTAAATTCTCCTCCAAATTTCAATTATTTTTATAAATATCAATATTCTTCTGCAAAATTCAATTTACGTTAAAAATTTTTTTTTCAAATTTCAAAATTTCAATTATCTTTATAAATAATAAAATTCATCTCTGAAATTCAATTATTTGCAAAAATTTTAATAAAATTGTACGCAAGCATTTAATTATTTTCATAAATAATGAAAATTTCACAGGAATCCAATTACTTACTAATTTTTTTAAAAATTTCATCTTTAATTATTATAAAACATGAAAACATCGATTGCTCCGAGTCGAAGACTCTGAGTGATCGATGTCTTCATGTTTTATAACAATTTTTTCTAAGTTGTTTAATTTTAAAAAGGTTTGAATTTGAATCTTTTGAAGAATTTTAATTCCTATGGAAAAATAATAATTAAATATTTATTTAAAAAAGAAATTATTGATGTTTTCGAAAAATTTGAAAGAAATGTGTAAATAAATGTAAATTATTTCCTTACGAAAATTGAGAATTACCTACAAAATTATTAAGAAACGAGAATATGTTGTTTTTTTCCCCAAAGAGAAGAATGATTTTGTGAACAATATTGTTTACAAAAAAAAATTTCTGCTATTTAAAATTTAAGTGGAAAAGTCGAAAAGATGTGAAAAAAGTCAATTAGTCTCATTTTTACTAAAAAATAAACATCTCGAAAAAGTCAATTAGTCGCATTTTATCATAAAAAAGTCGAAAAAAGTCACATTTCCTCAGAATTTTCGACTATAGTCGAAAAAAGTCGAAAAGGTCGCACAATCCGAGCCCTGGAAAAATTATCTTTAAATAAAATCTTCAAAATATAGATAATAAATTAATAGTAATAAATATTGTATATCAATAATAATTAAATCTAAACTCACCGAATAAAGAAAAAAATCTCCATGTTTTCCCGAAAAAAAGAGAAGTATAGGCAATCCCAGAAATTGCAAGTCAACTCCCACATTTTGAAAGTGAGGGTCGTATTACAGTTATATTTGTATGCGTGTGGAATGAAGGGGGATTTCGCAAACAGAGAGAGATATAATGTGCGGATTCTCTCCGTCTTTGCATAAAGACAGTTGGTACAAAAGGTGGGTTGAGTGTTTTAAGGTATGGAAGTTGTCGGTGGAGTGGAGAAGGGAGGATATTTCGTATGCCGCACAGACATGACAACATGCTGTGTTATCAGAATTATTGCGAGCCAGTAACCAATACCAGGGCTAATGCGGCGCGTTAACATTCGTGGGGTGCGCTCAGTTTCGCCATATACCCGCAAGCTGTGGTCTGGTGGACGATCCTCTCTCGCGGCCTCTTCGACCAGGGTTGAATATACATATATATATATACACACAATGTATCGCATGTATATCCACAAATATATCCTCTCTCTTTCTCCATATTGCCTCTGTGCACGTTCGCATATGTCGCCAAATTCGACTCTATATGATATTACCGTCATGCCGGTCCTTTTCTTTCATATATATATAATATGGACTGTGTGTTTCCTATTCATTCCTTGGATTCCGCCAGCTTGCCGCTTACACATAGATAGCCATAAGGGATACTCTATTTCTGATTCCTCCATATATTTATATACGTATAAAAAATATATGTATACATAGACACGTGTGCACGTCGCAGAAAGATGTTTCAATTGAAGGAAAGCTGGATGGTGACACTTGAAACAATCTGCTCTTTGGAAAATGCCTCGTCTTTGGAATATTTGCGATCTACAAGGTATTATGAATTATTCAGAAAAAAATATTCTGAACGCCTCCAAAGTTCTTCCTCTCAAAAATCTTTATTGTTTCCAGTTTTGCGGAATCAAAATCTAAACCTCCGGGACTTGATTTACGAGAGTGTTCATGCCTGAAAAATAAAGAGCGAGATTTTACTATATGAGACTTCGCACTGGATAATTAATTTTATAAAAGTAGCTTTCAAACTAAAAAAAGTAGTTAAAAAGAAGCTGATATATATTTTATTTTCCTTACTTTTTCCTAATTTTCATCAAAAATATTTACTTCTTTCTTATCCTACTGCATTAAATTGAATTCCTGCCCAACGAATTTTATTATTCATGAAAGAAGTTAAATATTTATAAAAATAATTTAATTCTTGCAAAGAATTTTATTAAAATTTTTAAATAATTAATTTCATTCGAGTAATTTTATGTAAATTATAATTTAAATAATTAAATTCTTGAGAAATTTTATTATTCATGAAAAGAAATGATTTCTTTCGAAAATTTTTACAAAAAAACTTTTTAAATAATTGAATTCTGTTTGAAAATTTTATGAAAATAGTAGATATTGAAAATCATTGAAATGCAAAAAGTTTTTATAAATAATTATATTTTACAAAGAATTCGCTTAAAATTTTTGTGGTATTTTATTAAATTTTTCTTGAAAATAATTGAATTCCTAAAAAGCATTTTATTATTTAAGAGAATAATTAAATTCTTGCAATCGATATTATTAGAATTTTTTAAAATAATTGAATTTCCAAGATGAAATTTATTACTTTAAAAAATAATTGAATTCTATGTGATAAATATATATTGTTATTTATGAAAATAATTGAATTATGGAAAGAATTTTATTAAAAAGTCTCAATAACTGAATTTTCGGAAATAATTTTTTTAATTATCGACATAATTGAATTCTTTCGAAGAATTATTTATGCAAATAATTGAATACTTGGGAAGAATTTTATTAAAATCTAAAAGAATAATTGAATTATTTCAAAAAAATTTAATTAAAACTGTATTTAAAATAATCGATTTCTTTGTAACAATTTCATTAAAATATTTAAAATAATTGAATTATTTTGAAAAATTTTATTAACATGATTAAAAAGAATTGAATTTCTGTGAAAAATTTTTTTTATTTTTGAAAATAATTGAATTATGCAAAGAATTTTATTAAAATGCCTCAAAATAATTGAATTTTCGGAAATAATTTTGTGATTTATCGACATAATTGAATTGTTTCCAAGAATTATTCATGTAAATAATTAAATTCTTGGGAAGAATTTTATTAAATTCAAAAAAAAAATTTGAATGAAATTTGTGAAAAATTTTGTTATTTTTGAAAATAATTGAATTTTTTGATTAATTAATTTAAAATAGTATTAAAAAGAATTGAATTTCTTCGATGAGTTTTATTTTTTTGAAAATAATTGAATTCTTGCTTAGATTTTTTTATTTAAATTTTCTAAAAAATTCTATTTCCATGAAAAATGTTATTGTTAGTAAAAGTAATTGAATTATTGTGAAGAATTGTATAAAAATTTTGTTAAATAATTGATTTTTTAGAAATTTTTTTGAAAAATTGATAAATTAATAAATTAATTGAATTCCTGTGGAAATTTTATTGTTTATGAAAATAATTAAATTCTGGATGAATTTTATCAATTTTTTTAAATAGTTGAATTTTGGATGATTTTTATCAATTTTTTTTTTAAATAATTAAATTGTTTTGCGAAATTTTATGAAAATACTAGATATTAAAAAGAATTGAATTTCGAATATTTTTTGAAAATAACTGAATCGTTTTAAAGAATTTTATTAGAATTTTTGAGAATAGTTTTTTAATTTCTGGTATTAGCGAATTTAAAGTAGTGGAAATTCTCAAAAAACAGAAATAGTATCTTTCAGTGGTTAAAATTTGAAAGAAGTACCCAAATTAGTTAACAAACATATTTTTTATTCAAAGAAAAATTCAATAGAAAATAATATATTTCGAAAAAAGAAAAATAAAAAATACTGACTACAAATATAGAAAATTCTGAATAAAAATTGAAAATACAGAATATAAAAAAAATACTGAGTGGAAAAAATAAAAAAATAATATATATAACATAAAACCCCAGAGAAAAAAAAGTCGTGTAAGAAAAATATTTACAGAATTTATTTTCTCCGATGCGCTAGTCGCGCAAGAATCTATATTCCGAGAATAATTTAAAATCCTTTTTTCCTAGACAGAGAAAATATACAATCTTATTAAAAGTTAAGTATTTTGTTTTCGTCGAAAAGAAAAACAAAATTCACTGTTTAAGGAAATATTTCATGAGAGGCAAAATGATTCAATCATAAGAAACTATATTGATCTCAGCAAATAAATTCTTATCAACTAAATCCAAAAAAGAAAAGAATAAAACAAAATTACTGCGGAGTTTTGAAAAAGAAATGTGACCTAATAATTATTATCTTCGACGTGAGTGTAGTTCACTATACGTTTATGATCAATTTGGAAAAAATATTTTCCAATAAGAAAACAAAATTTTATTTACAAATTGATCAATAAACTATTTATCTATTAAACTATTAATCTAACTTTTAATTTATATAACTATTAATCTATCAATTAAACGAAAATAAAAAAAATTTAAATAGAAAAATATTTTTTCTTCTAAACTGTTGATTATAAACGTTGCGAACTTCAGCAACATTAATCTTTGAGCAAGAAAAGGAAGAAGAATATAACTAATCTTCACCATCGCAGTGACGGGAAAAAAATGTAATAAACAGACTGAAAACTAATCAAAAGCAGGCCTTGGATCGACTTTAATGGACAAAAAAAGTCGCTTAGCGGATTCAAAGTACAAAAAGTAGAAAAAGTCGTTTGCTTTTTCCAGATTATTACAAAAATTCGATTTTCAATTTCCCTGACTTCTTTCTAATGATTTCTATAGGCAAAATTTTAATTTTCTCCCTTATCCTGATATTAAGTATATTTGTAAAATTTAATTATTTTTAAATAATTCTTTTTTTCAAATTAATCTTCAAAAACACAAAAATATATTTATAAAAAATTGTAATTAAAATTCTTCAAAACATAAAGTTTGCTTTAAATGAAATTTGACAAAGTTTCCAATCGTTTGAAATTGTTTCAATTATACTGTTTGGAATTGAATTAATCTGAAAAAAAATTCCAAATATAATTTTTTAAAAATCTAATATTTTCCGATTTTCTAGATTATTTAAAACTTTAACGATTTTGTTGAACAAATATTTAAATATCCACTTATTGATATTTATTTTCGCACGAAAATTAAAATTTTTTTAAATTAAAATTTCAAACCTTCTGAAATTATATATTGTTTCTACAAATTAACACTGTCATTTTTCCCAAATTCAATTATTTTTTATAATTTTCAACAAAACTTATTCAAACGTTAAAAATTTTTTTGATACTTCAATATTATTAAACTTCTAAATGAAACTGAAATTTTAAAATTTTCTTATTTGAAACCTTGTGAAATATAATAATTTTTAAAAAATGCTACTGTAAATATGCAAAATTGAATTGTTTTCAAAAATTTGTTACTAAAACTCTTCTCTAAATCAATTAATTTAATGATTTTGTGAATAATTTTGTAGTATAATATTAATAGTTATTATGAAATCAAAGATCAATTAACTCTTGATTAGTATTTATTTTAAATAGTGTTTTCATACATTTGCGTCTATCGTGACAGATGTCTGAATGACAACTAAGTTTTTGTTTAATTATAATTCATATTTTGTTTAACAGATCCTCTTTTGTTCTGCGTGCCAATTCCGGTTACATATTTAATTAGTAATTGTTAAGTGATTAATACTACACTCGGCCATTCTGATAAATTCACCTGCCCTCAGGTGTTCGAAAATCAAGAACTTTCTAAACTTTTTTATTTAATTGACTATAGTCGATGTAAATTCTTTTAGACACATTTTTCTTTGTCGCGATTACAATAGGACTTGCGTAGTCTGACGTAGTGGATCTTATTATTTTATCATCTAACAAATTATTAATTTCGTTTTGAATTTTATCATTTTTTATGTAAGAAAGATCAATTTTATTCGTTTCGTTGATATAATCGATTTGATTTATATAATTTTTGTCAGAAGTATTTTTAATTTTAGAAATTTTTATTTTTCCGTCTTTATAATGTAATTCAATTGTGTTCAAAAAGTCCGTGCCTAATACTATAATATCTTTCATCACGTGATTCGAAATAACATGTAAAATTACTTTAAAGGGTTCGTTATCAATTTTCAAATTTACTGAAGCCATACCCAAAGTAGACATAAATGAATCACCTGATCCTATGCCTGAAAATTTTGTTATTTTTTCTTTGTTAAATTGTATTTCTAGATTTTTGATAATTTCTTCCCCAATAACACTTAATTCGCTCCCTGTGTCGATTAGAGCTTTGAATTCTTCCCCATTTATCGAGATTGTTTTGTACGATTTTTGAGAATTAGTTTGAAGTACATTACATGTTCGAATTTCTTTGGAAATTCCAATATCGTGTGAACATTGGTTTGCTTTATGTCCATAATTATTACATTGAAAACATTTTGGTCCTTTATCTTTAAGTGGACAATCTTTGCTCATATGGCCTTCTGACCCACAATTAAAACATTTGTTAATTTTGTCAGTGTCTGTTTGTTTTGTAAAAGTTTTCTTTAGAGTATAGTCTGTTTTATTAATTAATTTAGATTTTAGTTTCATTTTTTCATATGTGTCTAGTCTCAATTTTAATTCGCGAATATTATTTGATCCGTATAAAATCAATTTGTTTACCTCGTCTCCTTCAATTCCTTCTATAATATATTCTATTACCGCACTAGGTTCCATGTTGACCTGAGCTCCAATTTCCATCATTTTGTAACAATATTCGTGATAGGTTTCATCATGCCTTTTCTTACGTTGACGCATTTTCAGATGTACTGCATGGCTGTCGATTTTCGTGCTAAATTCTTCTTTGAGTGCCTTCTTCATTGCTTCCCAGGAATATTTGCAATCTTCAAAATTTATAAATAATTTGGCGGAACCTTTCAGTAAACGTTTTGCGTAGATTGCTTTGTATGTTTCGTTCCATTCACATATTTGTGCTGTATCTTCAAATTCGCTTATCCAATGTTGAATATTTCGACCATCATCACCGCTGAAGAAGTCTAACGTGCCCTCTATGTCTTTGAAGGTTATTATCGAAGAGTGAGATTGATTTCTTGAATTAATTTGATCTCTTCTGTCGTAACTCGTAGGTGATTGTTGATAATCAATATCATTAGAATATGATTGAATTTGATTTTTTTGTTGATTTTGACGTCTTTGCTCATTTTGCCTTCTTCGTTCATTTTCTCGTCTTAGTTCATTTTCTTGTATTTCCTCATTTTCTCGTCTTAGATTATATTCTCGTCTTAATTCATCTTTTCGTCTTTGCTCATCTTTTCGTCTTTGCTCATCTTCTCGTCTTTGCTCATCTTCTCGTCTTTGCTCGTCTTCTCGTCTTTGCTCATCTTTTCGTCTTCGCTCATCTTCTCGTCTTTGCTCATCTTCTCGTCTTTGTTCATCTTCTCGTCTTTGCTCATCTTCTCGTCTTTGTTCATCTTCTCGTCTTTGCTTTTCGTATTCTTTTTGTTCTTCTTCGGTAAAGCCTCTTAAATTGGGTTCTTGATTTATGCTTTCTAATGCTTCTAGTAAACGATTTTTTAATTCCGGTTTATTTCCTATGATTGACAAACCCAATTGTCGTAATCTAAATTTTAATTCATTTAGTTTTAAAGAATTTATGTTTACTTCATCATCTGTCAAAGCGTCGTGATCGTCGTCGTTGATGGTTAATTGATGATCTTTCGTCAGCTCTTTTCGAAGTCTTTCTCTTAAATTAGCGGTTGATCCGGTTAATGGAAGTCCAAGTTCCGCTAGTCGTTCCCTCATGTTGTCGTCGGATAAATCGTGTAATTCTTCCAATTGTCTCTCGATATCTGTCATTGTGAATTTGACGTTTCTTATTTTTCGTGAAGAAAGAATTTTTTTTTTTTTTTTTTTTTCTTTTTCTTTGGACGAGCCCCCAATTGTAGTATAATTAATAGTTATTATGAAATCAAAGATCAATTAACTCTTGATTAGTATTTATTTTAAATAGTGTTTTCATACATTTGCGTCTATCGTGACAGATGTCTGAATGACAACTAAGTTTTTGTTTAATTATAATTCATATTTTGTTTAACAGATCCTCTTTTGTTCTGCGTGCCAATTCCGGTTACATATTTAATTAGTAATTGTTAAGTGATTAATACTACAATTTTTCGCTTTTAAATTAGTAAGTTTTACTGAAAAATAATTATTTCTACTAATTTATTAGTAAAATTTATTAATTCTAGAGCTAAAAGTCAGTCACTATTTTGAATTTGTAAACATTTTCTCTAAATCAAATTTAGAGAGAATAATATTCAATTATTAGGAAAATTTTAACTAAAATTTCATATTTAAATCAATTTTTATTAGAAAATTCTACAAGAATTCAATTATTTAAATACAAAAAAAATGATTTATTAAATTATTGAATGTTTCTTAAGATTGAACTCACATAAACAATTTTATCAACAAATTTTTAAATAATTTAAATTCGAATTTCAATAAATGTTTTAAGAATAATTTCATTTTTCGCGAAATTAGATTAAAATTGCATTAAAAATAATTGAATCTCTGTATAAAATCTGATTGAACTGAGAAAAGTTTTTGAAAACAATATTGAAATTTTTCCAGGAATTTTATTATTTATAAAGATAATGAAAATGTTGACAAGAATTTTTTTTAAAATATTGACCATAATTGAATTTCTGCGAAGAATTATATTAAAAAAAAAATTGTGAAAATAATTGAAGAATTTTATTAAAATTATTTTGGAAAAAATTGAAATGTCAAAGAGAATTTCATTAAAATTTTTGAAATTAATTGAATTCTTTTAAGAAATTTAATTAAAAATATATTGGCAATAATACTTAAAAATACATTATAATAATCGTAAGTTTCCTTTCCGTTAGCAAATTATCTGCATTCATTTGTTTGTTTTGAAAATTTAATTTTGTGGGTTAAGTATTGGCATTTTTTATATATTTTTTAATGTCAAACTTTTTAATGTGGAAAATACTTTACTTATTAAATTGTCTCGACTCTTTGGTAAAAAATCTAAAATTATCGGAAATTATCAAAAATTCAAAAATCCGAATTTCTTAAAATTTAACATTCTTTCCTGTCTTTTATGGGATTTAGCTTCATTATTTTTGTGCTTTTGGAAAATACTTTACTTATTAAATTGTCTCGACTTTTTGGTAAAAAATCTAAAATTATCGAAAATTATCAAAAATTCAAAAATCCGATTTTCTTAAAATTCAACATTTTTTCTTCTCTTTTACGGGATTTAGCTTAATTATTTTTGTGCTTTTGGAAAATACTTTACATATTAAATTGTCTCGACTCTTTGGTAAAATATCTAAAATTATCAAAAATTCGAAAAAATTCAAAAATTTGATTTTCTTAAAATTCAACATTTTTTCTTCTCTTTTACGGGATTTAGCTTCATTATTTTTGTGCTTTTGGAAAATACTTTACTTATTAAATTGTCTCGACTCTTTGGTAAAAAATCTAAAATTATCAAAAATTCGAAAAAATACAAAAATCCAATTGTCTTAAAATTCAACATTTTTTCTTCTCTTTTATGGGATTTAGCTTCATTATTTTTGTGCTTTTAGAAAATACTTTACTTATTAAATTGTCTCGACTCTTTGGTAAAAAATCTAAAATTATCAAAAATTCGAAAAAATTCAAAAATTTGATTTTCTTAAAATTCAACATTTTTTCTTCTCTTTTATGCGATTTAGCTTCATTATTTTTGTGCTTTTGGAAAATACTTTACTTATTAAATTGTCTCGACTCTTTGGTAACAAATCTAAAATTATCGAAAATTATCAAAAATTCAAAAATCCGATTTTCTTAAAATTCAACATTTTTTCTTCTCTTTTACGGGATTTAGCTTCATTATTTTTGTGCTTTTGGAAAATACTTTACTTATTAAATTGTCTCGACTCTTTGGAAAAAAATCTAAAATTATCGAAAATTATCAAAAATTCAAAAATCCGAATTTCTTAAAATTCAACATTTTTTCCTCTTTTTTATGGGATTTAGCTTCATTATTTTTGTGCTTTTGGAAAATGCTTTACTTATTAAATTGTCTCGACTCTTTGGAAAAAAATCTAAAATTATCGAAAATTATCAAAAATTCAAAAATCCGAATTTCTTAAAATTCAACATTTTTTCCTCTCTTTTATGGGAATTAGCTTCATTATTTTTGTGCTTTTGGAAAATACTTTACTTATTAAATTGTCTCGACTCTTTGGAAAAAAATCTAAAATTATCGAAAATTATCAAAAATTCAAAAATCCGAATTTCTTAAAATTCAACATTTTTTCCTCTGTTTTATAGGATTTAGCTTCATTATTTTTGTGCTTTTGGAAAATACTTTACTTATTAAATTGTCTCGACTCTTTGGTAAAAAATCTAAAATTATCAAAAATTCGAAAAAATTCAAAAATTTGATTTTCTTAAAATTCAACATTTTTTCTTGTCTTTTATGGGATTTAGCTTCATTATTTTTGTGCTTTTGGAAAATACTTTACTTATTAAATTGTCTCGACTCTTTGGTAAAAAATCTAAAATTATCAAAAATTCGAAAAATTTCAAAAATCTGATTTTCTTAAAATTCAACATTTTTTCCTCTCTTTTATAGGATTTAGCTTCATTATTTTTGTGCTTTTGGAAAATACTTTACTTATTAAATTGTCTCGACTCTTTGGAAAAAAATAAAAAATTATTAAAAATTATCAAAAATCCGAAAAATTGAATTTCTTAAAATTCAACATTTTTTTTCTCTTTTATACCATTTAGCTTTATTATTATTTGAATTTTTATTCAAGAGAAAAAATGGAAAACTGAAAAAATTTAGAATTTTTTAAAAATTACAGGCCTTTTTCATGATTTCCCTGATTTCCAGAAGCCTTTTAAAAATTCCATACCATTTCCATGATTTTCATGATTTCCAGATTCTGTAGGAACCCTGCTTTTGTCTGACTTTCTTCTAAATTATCGAATTCAGTGATTTCTGGGGTGAATTTGGTTAAGTTGTAAAATGATTAATTTCTATTTGAATTCGTTTTTTTTGAATGTAGAAAATCTGATGTTAATTTAATTCTTTTTTCGTTATGCACGGCAAAAAATATTTAGCTGGATGAAGTACAGATTTCACTTTAGTAGCGAAATTATTTAGTGCTTCAATTAATACTTTCGTTATTCTAGAGAAACTTATCGCTATTTCAAGTAAAACTTTTTTCAGTGTGTAATAATTATTATTTCTTTAAAAAGTATTTAATTTAAAATGGCTTTATAAAATAAGCAATGCAAAAGATGACCCAGATACTAATTGTAATTGTTCTAGCCATAGTTTAAGTCTAGTAATGTAAATTCTATTTAAATTGAGACCATTGAGTGAAATTATTTGAATTTTAGTTAGTTAAATCTCTTTGTTAGGTTATAATAATTATTTCTTTAAAATTTTTTAAATTGTTTAAAACGTTTAAAATAAGCAGCGCCATACATCATTCCCGCGCGCTTGCGCGCGGATAGTTTGGCTAGTCCTTTCTTAAAAAAGACATGGAGTGGAAAGGTCGAATGTATCGAAAAGTATCGAAGTAAAGAATGGGCAATGAGAACGTAAAATCTTAATAGAAGGGTGTTTTTAAAATTGTTTGTACATGTGAAGGTGTCGCTGCAGTCGTATGTTATTTAAAAAGAGCGCGAATATATAAATTTTATTTTTGTTAAGAGAAAGTACTCATAATAAATCTTATTTTGCATTGTCAAAAAAAACGTCAACATTTCAAATATAAATAAGCAAATTATTAACTGAAAAAATTTGAATATTATTATTAATGAAATAATGGACTTGGACAATGGACATATAAAAAATTAAAAACTAGCACCGTAGACGGCCGCTTGCGGCCGTCGGAGGAGCTAGTTCTAATAAATAAATTATAGGAAAGCTTTTTAAAATAATTGAATTTCTTTGATGAATTTTAATAAAAAGTTTGAAGAATTTTTAAATTTTTTGAGAAATTCCATTAAAATTATATTAAAAATAATTGAAATTCTGCGATGAGTTTTATTACATATTAATGAAAATAATTGAAAACCTATAAAGAATTTTATTATTCATGAAAATAATTGAATCCTTGTAAAAATTTTATTATTTATGAAAATAATTGAATTTTTGGAAAGAAATTTATAAAAAATTTATAAATAATAGAATTGCTGTGAAATTTTTATTATTTAATTAATTCATTCAAAATTGAAATTTTCTGAAATTGCAAATTAAAATCTTTTGAAGTTCATCTTTTTATGTAATTTATAAACGCGATTCTTTTAAAATTCAATTAACTTTAAAATATTTAAGTAAAATTAGATTTCAAGTATAAGCACAATAACATTAGAAAACAATAATTTTCCCGGATTCCGATTAAAATTCCCTGACTTTTCCTGGTTTTTTCAAGGTTTATAAAATTCCCTGACATTTCCAGGTTTCTAGGTTGCGTGGCAACCCTGTAGTCGAAAAAAGTCGAAAAACTATCAGAGTCGTGGAAATGCAAACTGAAGTGAAGACAAAATCCATAAAACTGCAAAACAAACGAGTTTTTAAAAGAAAGAAATTTACAAAAAAGAAAAAATTGTAATTTCAAATAAATAAATAAATAAATAGAACAAAAGAAGCAAATTCCGATACAAAAACAAAAGAAAATCCCAAGGAAAGTAATTCCCATCCCATCTGGGACACGAGTTATAAACATGGATTTTGATTCGGATAAAAAAAGTAATTTATATAAATTAAGTGGTATCATTTTTCTCCGTGAAGTCAGTTAACGCAACATTTGGATTTTTTT